CTAATACTAAAACCATATTCAATAGATTTAAAACTACCTGTACAACACACCATATGCACATAATCCCAGTCACATCAAAATTTCACCCCTTAAACCCTTAATATCAAAAATAGAAGGGAGAGGTTTTAGTATTGCATTTTAACATCAACATTCACAGTTGAAATTGAACAAACATCCCTACATTTGTACTAGTATTTTGGTTCTATAATGCACTTAAACAACAATCAAATAACAACCCAAGACCCAAAATACATTGTAAAAATCATTAGCAATAATATAGTGCAAGTATATGCAACATGTATCCTAATTGGCAATATTTAAATTATTACACAAGATAAATAAATTAAGGAGGCAATTACAATAGGAATATTCTAATTCCTAAGCCTCCAGAATATTTTCCTTTCTACATCAGAGTTAGAGCCTGTAAAATATTGAAATAGAGGTGTGATTTAGCCACTCAATAATTAAGGCGTACCTACTCTGTGCTGTTATATATCAATTGAATAAACACACATAAATGGTGTTGAATTCTCAAATATATATATATATATATATATAAATATATAATATTACTTGTTCACAAAAGATCATTTCTCATTTTAATTCATTTTCATTATTCTCATCTTAAATCACATAGTAAATTGTCGTAAGACATATAGACATGTGACAATGACCTAATTTATTATCACAACTTATCATGAACTTAAATAACTATGTCACACGTCAGGTAAACACATATGTATGATCCAACCACCTTATACCCTCCTTATAACTTCTGACTGAAATTGTGAGCTATAATATTAAATAGAGCTCCATCCGTCTGACTGGACTACCTAAGTTCACCAATTATAAGGGATGATCTGGCTAAAGATTACATAACTCACTCTTGGATCACAGTTTTCTCCACTCTCAAATCTCTGGAATATCATATACCCTAAGATAATCTCCTCGATAAATTGGTGGAAATAGTTAGGTTTTAGCCTCTTAACAAACTATGGGACAAAATTATACCCTCTTGCACCGAGAGGCAGTCATAAATACCATATAAATTTTATCTACTCTTATTTCTAGGTGAACTCTCACCAACTGATCATGCAATGTATGATGCTTACTCATTTTACAATTTTAGTATTTTAGTATCAATACTTTGGGCTTGCAACAATGCGCTACCTAAGTGAGCATCAATATTACTCTTCACAATCATTATCCGTTTCAATTTTTAGCCTCATAACATGTTCCCATATCTCGTTTAGCTATACATTTTATACTCACATATCAATACAATCATGCTATCATCACATCCATATCACATGCTTCTCATTTCAATTACATGTTATAGTTTGCAAAAAATTTTAAATCAACTCCACATTTCAAGTCAAATCAAGACTAATCCACCATCATATAATTTAAAACATGCTTTCATATTCACAAATCAATCATACATGCAATTAACACATTTTTATATTAAAAATCAATTAATAAGCAACTACCCAAAATAAGATTCTTTCGATTACCTCAAACCTTTGAGAAGTTAAAAGTTTACCCTTCAATAATTAACTTTCAAGCTAGCTTCCCAAGCCAAATGTGGTGCTCGGATGATTGATCTACAATTAATTATGTCTAACCTCAATTAACATTGCTATAAATATACTTTTAACGCTCATTTTCCATGTCTAAAAGATCCAATGCCCATATTTCTCACATTTAAGCTACTTATTAAGTGTGTTAACTTTATTTAGCATTATATAGCTTCAATAAGCTCTCACATTGCCATTAATGCCTCAATCATCCCTATAACTCACATTTAATGCCCTATTTTTCGACATTAATGAAGCTTACCAATCAAAAGCTTATAAAATCATCAATGTAAAGTTTAAACAATCTAAACAACTCCTATTAACTCTATTTAAGTTAATAAATTCAAACCTATAACCTACATGAATTGAAATTTATCATCTCATCTCAAATCCTAACTTTAATCCCTATAATAATAAGGGGAGAGATAGAGAGAGGAAAAGAGTGTAAGGCACTTACCTTAGGTATTTTCTAGCACCAAAATACTCCTAAACCACCAATGTGGCAAACCCTAGCAAAGCAAGAACAAGCTCTTTCATTTTCCTCTTCTAATTTCTGTCTTAGTTCATGGGCCACTTATCAAAAATTTTGGCCATGCACTGTGGTGTACTTAGCATGCACCTCAACATATGGCACAGGGAGGTCCTCTTTCTTCAGTTGTCATCTGTGCACCATAGCAAACATGCTAAATGCCACAACATATAGTACAGAGACAATCCTTCACGTTTTTCTCATTCTTTTGATACTCAGGTGGCTCACCTTCACTTTGAACTCATAATTAGGACTAAAATCACAACTGGATACACTTGGTAGATATTTCTAACCACACACCACATTAAATCACTCAATTATCATAATTAAACTTGATTATTGTCTTAGTAATTCAAGAATTAAAATTTAGGATATTACAAATCCCTTCTTAGTATCTAGTTATTTGATGTTGAGGGGGTAAAAAAACCATAGTAGTAGGCTAGTAGCTTGCCTTAACAGTATAATCATAATTAGACAAAATCTATTGGCCATGTAATTATAATTAGATGAGAATTCTGTTAAAAAACATTATTTTAGCCATAATTTCTTTTTCTTTTCAGGGCCAAACAAAGACATTTTTCTCGTTTTCCAATATACATACTATTAATTTCCAAAATGCGCATATGTTTTATGTGTTAAAGGAAAAATTTGCCTTCAAAATTTTTCGTCATAGTACTATTACTATATATCTTACATTTTCAATTGATGTAATGTTCTCTCTTCCTTCTTTTGTTAAAAAATATAAAATATTTTAAATATTTTAATGTGCAATTAATGTGTTTTTTCTGTATAAAAAAATGATATTAGTTTAAAGATAAATAACTAATTTATTGAGAGTGAAATTCAATTAAAAATACATTACATTTAATTTACTTTGCCACATGGTTGATCTTAAATAAGATTTAAGTAATTTTATTTTTTTAGTAGTAGCAATAAATTTTAATAAAAAGATATAATTAATATTAATGTTCAATAGAAAAATAGTGACTGTTTATATAAGGCATAAGCAATAAATTCTTAATTAAAATATGAATAACAAGGCTTATAGCTTGAGCCTAAAAGCCTTGCAAAATAAAGGTTGGTTAGCTCGAAAACTTTTTTACTTTTTTTTTTAAATCAATATTTTAGGACTTTATTTTGGTTATTCTAAAAAACTTTTGTAACTTTTAGAACCCATATAAGTTATTAATAAAATAAATACGTGTTCAATATTTTAGGACTTGAGTGAATGTAAATTATAAATAGGCCTTCAATACGCCTTCAATACATCGGATTGAGAGTTTTTTCAAGGCAAAAGGATCCTCCTTCCAAGATGTATAGAATCACATGAATTCCCATTACGATGGCAATCAAAGGTTGAGGAACACACATTACACACTTACTATACCTTTACGTTGTCTCTTTGTATTCATCAAGCACTCACTTTTCCTTCTTGACCAGTTGCAGACAAAGCAAATCCAACTGCATTTCATCTGATATGATGAGAGTATCATAGTACGTTTGACATTCAAAGATATATCAATGGTGATGAAGAAACTTGGAGTATAGTTTCCAAATGATATGATCAAATCTGAAAGGTAAATTTTAATTTTCACGAGATTGTGGTTGGTTGCTTGAATACACTCTCTGCCATCAAATATATGAATCAGCGTGTTGCCCGGCTTGTGACAAAAGTTCACTATCACCTTCGCTGTCCAGGACACACCTTCAATGTCCCAAAGCTTTACACATCTTCAGAGTAACGTTAAGCTTACCCCCAACTAAACCATAATTAGGATTTTGAATATTATATCGGTCCTTGGATTGTGTTTATGTAGGCATTTATATAAATTGATTAAGCATAAATCATTGTTCCTTAATCCTCAATTTGCATTTTTTTCCCCTTTTTCTTGTGATTTAAACTTCAATACACATTCATGGAGGATTCTGGGAAAACTTCAGTTATATATGTTCTTCAATCAGTTTGCGACAGAATTGGTTCAATCATCATGATTCTTTTAAACACACAGTACAAACCTTTTCCTGGTGCATTTTATTGTTTAACTTTCAGTGATCCATGTATTGTGGATTAAACTTCACACCTTTAATGTTCTAATCAGGAGGGCCAATTGTATATGACTACTCAATAAAACAAGTCCATAAAATCCCATAACTATGGTATTCTTCCGCTAACAGAATACCAATTTGCCAAGAAAAATTTATTGCATGTTTGGATACGTCATATAATCAATTTTAAAATTAAAATTAAAATTTTATAAAAATATATCCAAACAGTAAAACAAAAATTTTCCCATGTTTGCATTAGCGTTTTTAACTTAAATAATAAAACTGTATAATAGTTTTTTATTGATTAAAATGAATAGGAGTTGTAAAAACTGAAGAAAAAAATTTCAATATAAATTACTAAGTTGAGATAAGTAATTTGATATTAACAAGAATAATTCCATCTGGATAGAAACACTAGCTTAGAACAAAATTAAACATTCACATTTAGAGTCCATATGTTTAAAATTAAAAAATCTTTTTAAATAGTTTAGAGATTTTATAAAATATTTATTTCTTGAAAATTTTATGAAAAGAAAACTTATGTTTGATTACAATAATAAAAAATAATTATGAGTTGATTATTTTTAAGTTTTATGATATCTTCATGAATTTATATCTTATAAAAATAATTTATTATTTAATTATTTTGAAATTTTATGATATCTTCATGTATACTGTATTTTTAAAACATTTTCTCTTATATATTGTATTAGATTATTTTCAGAAACTTATCAAAGTCAACAACGGAGTAGAATCATTGAGTAACGCTTGCCAAATTAGCATAAGAATTTCCGGCAACACTTGATAACAAATTGTTTAGGCTTAACACCTCCGGATTTTTGTTTTTTTTTTTTTTGGAGCAAAACACCTCCGAAATCTTGTTTTATATAAATAAGGTTAAAATATAATTGTGGGTTCTACGTGCATGAGACTAAACACCCAAATGCCAGCCAATCCCTTATCTTATTCAACCCATTTAAATATAGGAGTGCGATTCCCTACTGCCAATTCACACACATTGTTTATTCTGTTTTCAAACCGTGCAACCTCAAGCTTTGGCAGCCGCTAAACTACGCTTCGTGCCAGCAATCTCTTGGTTAAGATCTTCTGCTTTTGTGCACAATGTCTTCAACCCTGAAGCGTCTACAGCTAACTGAGTCTCCCAAACCTCACTCTCCTGCAAGCGCATCTCATCAATGAACCTAGCATCAAAGCCAAAAGTTTCAAGCTCTCCAAGCACAACTTCAATCTCGCTGGTCTTCCGCTCGTCCAAGGTGCAGGGAGATGTAATTGAAGCAGATTGGACAAAGAGCAAAACATCCAACGGATAAAGGTCTTCCTTCTATCAGACCTAATGATCATTAGGTTGGGATATTTGTTGAAGGCTATCTCCATTAATTTGTTGGCTTTATCGTCTAGTTCACACAACATAGCTACACTTTTTGCCACGATTGTGGAGTCATCACCTGCAGAAGCTCTTGTACCAGCTGGCGAAAGTAAGATGAGCCGCAGGATCTCCCCGACATTGGCGTTTGTGAGAGTCTCCAGAGGTTGAGGCACGGGCAGGAAGTGATTGAATTCGTGAAAAGAGAAACTACCATTAACAAGAGTCTCGCTATTCCCTGTTTCAGTTTGCCTGGGGAGTTGAGATATCTCATGGCTGACTTCCCCTTGAAGATCTCCCTCAATTTGAGGTCCGGCATCTGCACAAACATTTGAAAAGTAGATTTTTAGCAGAGGCAAAATTCAGCGTGGAACTTAAAATAAGAGCATGAATACCTCCAGTAGTGTAAGAGGAGTAGAGATGAAAGTAAGGTTGAGCAAAATCTAAGGGATCTTGTTCCAGTTCACTGGCCCCTGAGGTTGTCCCTCTTTCAGTCCTCACCTCATGAATTTGAGCTCCCAAGTCTGAAGTGAGTGAAAAATGCCTTAGCACCAGAATTAAATCATGGCAACAAGAGTAGAGATGTCTCTTCTCCACTTAAGAGAAAGTACTGCCTAGATACGTTCAATTACAAACACACACACACACACACACACACACACAGAGTCACATGCAAAGAACTTGGTAACCACCATAATTTACTAAATAAGGGGTTTTAAATGCCAAAAAATTGAATGGAAGCGATCAAAATTCCTTGCGTTTAAAATTTTATATTATTTCAAGTACCACAATCCACATGTTGACTTTTTGAGTTGCCCAGTTAATTCATGCTCTGCATGTTAAGCCTTCCAATGTGATTGTAACGGTTATAATTTGCGGGTCCATGTAGGCTTACTCAACTTACCTAAGCGCTTCCCTCTTCTCCTCACCAAAGCCTCACCAGTCACTAGGGCTTGGATCCATAGCCTCATCTGAACCTCGAAGTTCAAACTCCCCGTTCTCAAGAAAAGTTAACTGCTCCAAATCTTGAATTACAACTCTCATTCCAGAGTCAATGGTCTCCTCATTTTTGTCTGGACATGCATTGCCATTGTAGCTAGAAGGCTTGAAGTTCATCTCCTTAAGAGAACCTAATCTATCAACGATAATGCTCTGCACTCAACATAGGTGAAGAAAGGTGATAAAACTGACTTTTAGGCTTTTGAAGCCAATGAGAGCAAACCTAATGCCATATGAAAGCCTAAAAAAGGAACTTACTACACTTTTGAGAAGCAGTATTTGATAGGTAATGCCATTTACCATAGAAAAGAATATCAAATTCACATCTATTCATAAAATTCTAAGAAAAAATGCATCCCCATATTCCACACATACAGATATGGGATAAAATAAATAAAATGATGATAAATCATCTAGAAAAAAAAACCTACTGACTGTCCATGCATTTCAATACTCATCACGTGTCCTAACAACTAATAAAAGAATTTATGACAAATTTGATATCTATTTAGTGGCATCTATTAGGAAAAGAGGGGTGAGTAGATGGAGGCCAGAGGTAATACTTAATTGGATAAAAAGCGGTGGAACATGATTATATGGAAAGAAACCTTAGATCTCCAACCTAGCTTATTATAATATAATATCCTATAGTGGTTAGTTGGAAAGAAAATGTAGATATATTATATTAAAAGAAACCTTAGATCTCCAACCTTCTTAAAACTTTGGTCAAAAATTGAATATAGATTGAAAGAGTTAAAAGAAGGCAATATAAGATAGTGACATTGCGTTGACATCAATATCATTGCCCAATTTGAATCCTTAACTGAACTCAAGCGAGAAACAGTTGATTCTCTGGACCATTTTAATTGGTTGGTGCGATACAGAATGATATTAGACCTGCAAAGAATTTTTAAACCAAAACCGCAGTACCAGAAATGAAAAATGAAAGCAAGTCGTGATTGATCCACCAGTTCATAAAGCTTCATCCTGAAAGAATAATAACTTTTCAGGACCATTAGACGAATTTTGTTACTATATCAAACCTAAATAATACTAATCTAATGCTGAATAGATTTGTCTTTTCTGCACGCTCTTCCTGCAAGTGGTTCTTTGGTGAATAACTAAAAAAAGAAGGCTGCTTATAAAAAAAGTCTTCGGTAAATGTGAAGAAGTTCACAAAGCTTAATATGAGAGAACTGCAGTAGACATTGTTGAGTATTTCAAAATCATCCAAGTAATAGCATTTTCATAATAGTGAATCTTCATTAAGCATCTAAGCTAAACAATATATACATGTGTGTGTATTCCTACAGCATTTGACGGGACAAAACATTGAAAAAAAAAAAAACAATGCAGCAATAAGAAGCAAAAACTAAGACAAGGAAAGAAAGTGGGGAAGTACAATTTTTAATTAATTTGAAAATCCTAGTTCAAATGAATCTTAATGACTATACGAGTGAGAATAAATGTCTTCAAACCCACAAAGTTAGTCCAGTTAATAAAGATTTGACTCATAACCTACAAAGTCATAGAATCAAATCTCACTGTTGATGTGAAAACTTTATTGATGAGCAACCTATAAGTTTATATATAAGTACTTTTTAAACTTGAAGGTATGCATTGACCCTGATAAACCTTTAGGACCTAACTTACATGAGCTCTTTTTTTTTTTATTCAGGGGAAAAAGAATAAATGCCTCCAAATTATTCCTAAACAGCCACGTTATCAATTCTACCACAAAGAAGAAAAATGAAAGAAATTGGGTGAAGAATTCAAATCTTCCCAGTTCCCAGGAGAAGAAAAGAAAAAGAAAAGCAATGACTATCCATGATTAGACTTCTGCTTTGTCAAAATAAGGATTGCATGAACATGGCATGAACAACAGATAAAACATTACAACTTCAGATTAGTCTTGACGCCGTAAATACTACGTCAGCTTTTCTCTGCAGCCTCGCTTCATTTTCAGGCGAATAGAATCCAGTTTCAGCAGTTGCCTCACGAACAACTCAGACAGGGTAAGAAATTCCTAAAACATCAGTTCCCCATCTCACAGCTACCTCAATATATGGCAGCCATCAGCAAGTTTGAAATGAGACCAATGATCATTCTCTATTTGACATGTTTTTACTTATTCTAACCCACGATGCTTCTTCAGCAAGCAGTCATATAGGAAGCAAGGGCTCACCCTCTCAGAGAGCTGATCCACCTCTGCTCTAACTCCAGCAACAGCTTCAAAAGCTCCTGACATATCCAACATTTTCCTGGTTTCCTCAAGTTTCCTACCTTTGCTAGCAGGGTCCTCAAAAAGAAATAACTCTGAATTGTCCTTAGCACCTTTCAAGCGCAAATGCTCTCTATCCTGCTTTTCTTTTCCTCGGAAGATGAGTATTTTCCCTTTAGGCTCTAAACCCATATTGTGCGCAAGCAGTCTCTTAACATCCCCTGTTATTGAAGATCCAATCAAGGCTAATATGCACTGAGAAAGACAATATGACATAATGAAGTCAAATTCAGAAGCAACCCAAGGGGAATCGTAGATAGAGGGAAAAAACTTACCGAAAGTAGATTCAGCAGGGAGAGAGACCTCATACGGTGAAGAATTATGATAGATAGAGATCTCAATAATGCACCCACTGGTACTCATATCCTACTGCCTCTCGTCGTTCTGCAGCGTCGGCGAGGCGACGATTAGAATCAATTGAAGCTGTAAAACATAGAACTTGGGGTTCCTCAAAGCTTCAACAGCGATCAAGCAAGGTAGTGGATTAAGTATTCGTGATTGTCATATCGGACTGCAATTTCGTTATATACACACACACACACACACACACACACACAGACAGTTAGACATGCAGATAAAGAAGAACAAAAGCTGGTTTATCTAAAAGAGGAGACGTTTAATATATTATAGATTTTATATATTATTTTTTATTTTTATTCCCTCATTTACATTTTATATTTTGGGAGCGGGCAAGCAAACAGCACAAAAGCAACCGAAGGCCTAGAGGGCAAGTGGAGTTGAGAAAGAACACTGAAGTTGCCAACCAAGGGTGTAGTTGCTTCGTGGTTTATTTTTTGACCCTATAAGATTTTTTGCCATGACTTGCGAGAGATTTAAATCTTCAAAAAGTAATTAAAGGGATAAACAGTTTTATTCAATCGATATAGGCGTATATATGTATTACAATGGCGTTTATATGTATAATCAAGTTTGTTTATGCCATGACATAGGCGTATGTATGTTTTTTTTTTTTTTTTTTTTGGGTTACAGCGAAGGGATGGATTTGATTGTAAAAGAGTAGAACACTGCTTCTGGAACGGTGATGATGAGGAAGAAGCAATTTGATTTCTGAACAGATAAAACTATAACATTTTGTGAGATTATACAGTTAGCCGATGGTGGGTGGCCTGGAAACTTGGAGAGAGTGATCAACAAACAAACGAACTCGTTGGGCGTTGAAATCCATAGTGACAAAAGAATCAGGACCAACCACTTGGATCGTCACGCCTTCCATCTCTTCCTTTATCTTCTTCTCTGCTACTTCTGCCGTTACTCCTACCAGCTCCGGCCAGCTGGTTTTGGTTGCCCTGTTTCTCCCCACTGGATCGTAACTCGCTGCAATTTCTTCATGCATGCATGCAATTAATTACTTGGACTATAACAACAATTAATGAAGAAGCAAATAAATATAGAGTTAATTACTTGGCAAGGGCTGGTTAAGCAGCTTATTGACTCCTTCATTCTCCTCTGCCATTATTTCAGAACACTCCATCAGGTCTTGAAGCAGATGAGGATTATGGATCAATTGCTCATATATCTAAATATTATAAGCACCATGTAATCTGAGCCTGCTGTTGAATGCCATCTGGCATATATGCATAGGTTGATGGTGTTACCTAAGCGAAACGAAGGTCTCCATCAGTTGTATTTTCGAGGAATGAATAAACAATTATAAGAAATAAATCAGGGAAAACATTCATTTGTCCCTACTTTGCAAAAAATTTATTATGTCTCTACATTTTTTTTATATTTTAAATTTTTAAATTTTTATTTTTTAATATTTTAAATTATTCCATGAGCATGTTATAGAGACCTAAAATATTAAAAAAATACAAAAATTTAAAACAAAAAAATATAAAAACTTCTAACAAAATTTAAGTAAAATATAAAAATTTGAAGTTATATTTTTTTCAAATAAATAATATGCAGTGTTTGTGGTTGGTGTTACCAACACTATTAATCGTTGGAATGTACTCTTCAAGGATTTTTATAAATCACCTCTAAAAAGTATTCTTAATCTTTTATATAGGTTACTTTCTTTTAATTTTTATAATCTTTGATGTAAAATTTTAAAATTACCTTTTAACAAATTTTAAAAAGAAGTGTAATATTTTAATTTTTTAAATCCTTTTATTTATCAAATTACTTTTTTTAAAATAGAGATCAAATTTAAAAGTTATTTACTTTTAGAAAAAATTTATCATTTTAACTAATTTACTTTAATTTTGATGGGTTAGATAGAAATCACTTGTAAAAAGTGCAGACGGAGGAGTACTACAATAGAGCTTAGAACTTACTCCCTTCATTTTTATTTATAGAAAAAACTATCACTTTTTATTTATTTTTTATATAAGTAAAATTATCTATTTCAATAAGTATTTATTACACATTTTTTAAATCACCCCTCATAATTTATATTAACAAAAAATAATTAATGCATGTTTATATTGATTAATATAAGGTATTTTAGTTTAATTTTTTTATTTTTAAATATAATTATTATGGTTAACTAATTTTCTTAAATTTTATAATATAATTTATATATATATATATATATATAGATATAAACAGAGGGAGGAGAAGTTACACACGGCCGGAGAGAGGAATGACGTTGACCATCATTATTTTATTTTTGTTGTAGCTAATTGCTCTTGAACATATATAATATACACACTCTTTTTCCTTGAATTCGCCAGCGCAGACATGTGACTTAATACTCGATGATTGAAGAGAAATAGGCTTTTGGATTATTAAAATCATGGCTTTGTGAATTTTTGATATAAGAGCAAGTCGGAGTACGTGTTATTAATAAGTTAACTTTAATTTAAGTTTAATAAAAAAAATCAAAACAAATTATTTTACTCAAACATTAAAGAAAAACTTTAATTTTCAAATTGCTTAATGTTTCCCAAAAAAAAAAAAAGAGTTCATAACATTCAAACTAAAATATCTTCTTATTATCAATTAATGTTGATCTTGGAAGTAGCTATGGTCCTTAAAGATGGGATTTTGAGAATCCCATAAGAAAATAAGTATCTTCTTTTCTTAGTCCTCAAGTATTTAACAACGCTTGTTTGGGCTTTATTTATTTATTTATTTATTTATTTATTGTTTGGTCAAAACAAGGCTTGTTTGGTTGGTGCCGAAGGGATACAGATTGATGCTGGAAAGATTAGGGCCACGTGGAGCTTTGAAATATCACTGGTACTCAACCCCATCATCCAATCTCATCCACGAAATACAAACACAGAAAGATTGTAGATAAGTCGGAAGGTGAAGCCATGGACTGTTTCTGAAACAAGGTCATGGCTGCTTCATCAACTGTATTATCATCATCTTTGCTTCTTCATGGCAGAAATTTTGGTAATCATTCTCAACACCAGAAACTTCTCTTCCTCCAAAATCACAAGAGACGACTTTCCTTCAGAGTCCAGGCCGCCAAACCCCCTGCTGGTGTATGCTGTTTTTTTCCTCAAGCTATTTTCAGCTCATGCTGGTGTCTTCATATTTTTCTGAATATTGTTTATTATTAATTAGAAAAACAAATGGGTACAAACTAATTGCCAGGTTGAATTCCCAAAAGTAGAGCCACAATTTAGAGCCCCTTTTCTGGGATTCACGAAGACGGCAGAGATATGGAACTCCAGAGCTTGCATGATTGGAATAATTGGAGTTTTCATCGTAGAACTGGTTAGTTTTTCTCACTCTCAGATTTTGTCATGTTATTCTCATGGAGTAATATGGTGAGTTGATACCTCAATCAATATTAAATTATCATTTGGACAAGCTTAATTCTCATATTAGTCACTAATCAATACTTTAAATGCGGTATATGATTTTTCAGATACTGAACAAGGGAATACTTCAAGTGATTGGAGTTGATGTTGGGAAAGGTCTTGATCTTCCTCTCTGAGCCTCTCTGAGCATGCACACATAACTTTCGCCATACTCTTACTATTTGCTTAAATTTCTTCTTGGTTCAATCTTGGAACTTTACTCAGCCAATTATGTAAATTGCATAATTTTTATTTTTATTTTTTATGGGGGTGGGGTTTACTAAATCTTTCTCGAGCTGTGGCTGATCTCCACTGTTAACTATTGTCAAAACTCCATGAATATCACCTTTAGTCATATAGTTAATTAGTTATATATGACCCCACAAAAAAAAAAAAAACAAACACGAATGGTGCAAAAAAGATGATACATATCAAATCAATTTTCTATCTTTCTATCTTTATTTTTATGTCTAAAGCCTAATACACGAACAAATTTCTCTTTTAAATATTGAAATATTTACTCAAATCTCAATATTTACTCAAATATTTTCTTTTCAAGTACTTCAAATAAAACGTAACACCACCTCAGGCTCCATGTGAAGCCAAAATATGAAAGAGCAAGTACAAATGCAAAGTTATAGTCTTATAGAAGCGATCTTACAAGGCAGCAGACGACGAGAGGACTTTCCATACAGTTCAAAGAATACTCGTGCCGCTATATCAAGTTACCTGACAATGCCATAACGCTAGATCCTGGTGAAAATATCCTAAGTCACTCATTTTAACTAGTTTTTATTGTTCACCATGTGTACCCAAAAAAACTCCTCTTTAACCTCGGAGGATGGATTGGCTTGTAACAATTAACAACAACAAACTTCACTTAGTGGGTTCGGTTACAAAATCCAACTAGGGGATGGATTTGCTTACAAAATCCGACTAATCCGAGCATCGATAATAGGGACCTTAGAAGATGAGTCAGAGATTTCTAAAGCCTCTGCCAAAGACAACCTCCGATTCTTCCATATTGCCTCTGCCCAGCTCTTCATCTTCTCTCCTTGAACCTTTCTGTTTTCTTGGACACTAAGCACTTCAGCATATCCGCCTACAACATTGAGTTTTAGTCAGTATATAAGTTACAAAGCACTTTACCTTTAATATTAGCAGTCATGGTGGTAGCCTTGAACGCCCTTGAGAGCGTCCGAGCACACGATTTAGTTTCAGGTAAAGTTTGAGGAAGCCCCCAAAATCCTAAATGCTTTCTTTAGAAGGTAAAAGAAGAAAGAGATGGGCATTTAGAAATGAGAAATGTGACTTGTGAGTTTATAATAAATCATAGTTGAAAATGTGCAGTGCAGGTGCGCCGCACAAGATAATTAAGCAGCACTAATGGTCCAATACTTCAAAAGCATAATTGTATTCTCTACAATAAAATGTTTCCTACAATTGGAACTCAAAAAACTCAGAATGACAAATCAAGTTGCACCTATGCACTGCATATTTTCTTCTCTCAGTGTCTGTATCATGCCAAATATCATCAATATAAAATAGATAGAGTTAAAAACAGCGCACTCTTCACAAATTGTGAAGAATGTGATTCAAGTTGAACTTTATGCAAATGTACAAGCATTTTAGTTATTGGTCATATCAGCATGAATGGTAAGCAAGTATGTCATCAGTATTCAATATATTCAATGTACATTGTAAAATTTTTAGGAAGCCAAACAATATGGTTATATATGTAAACGATAAACAACATATTAGACTCTTTATGAAGTATAGAACCCACAATATGGTTATATATATATATATAAAAAGCATCCATGCCTCTTAACATGATATTTAACACGAAAAGGAAAAAAAATTATGAAATCACAAAAGTATCATGCATCATACAACTTAAAATCCCGAGCTCAAAAACAAATACACAAAGATATAAACTTGTGCGTGTGTGTTGTGACAGTATTTGAAAAGGTGCTAGAAGCATGAGTACTTTTTGTAACATTCGTTCTAACAAAGCTAACATTAAACACAATCGTTTATTTGATTAGAACTTAAAGACCCTGTGATTTTGGACTGAGCTCAAATGAGTTGCACTATGTACAGCCGGTAAACATTGTCCTACAACACATTTTATATATTGTATTGATATTGATGATATATTGATGCTTCTTCTCTCTCGCAGAAGTATTCTAGAATACATTACATGGGTCAAAGGGTCCACCATACCTCTTGCAAGGGACACTATATCACCTCGGTCCACGAAATGCACATCACCTACCCAGAGAAAGCTCATTTTCAAAATATAAACAACATAAATGCATGTGTCGGGTGTAATAACGTGTGTGGGGAAACCAAATTAACCCATCAACATTACCTTCAGTCTCCAATGGTGGAGCCTTCAACAATTCTATCGCCCTTCTGTAGAGACCCTGTCAAAGGTTTATCAAGTTTAATTACAGAGTGATTTATGAACAAAACTGTTGATGACCTAACCAAAAGAGAAGATTTTTGCTAAACAACTTGGATAACTATACTTTTCAGACTCTAATAGTCAGGGGTGTTTGATTGCCTCAGTAGAGGCTTGTTTGCAACTAAACTAGATCGAAGTTCGCTTGACTTCTCAACCACAAGACAAGCTCTATGTAAGTTATCACACTGGGTGTAAAAGAAGACGGACTCATAATAGAAACTAAAACATATGAAAGCAACTCTGCATAAAAACTAAGGCGGATTGAAGCACCTCCGCCTAAGCAAGAGGGTTGTGTATGTTTAGAAAGAATGTGGCTCAACAAAGAAAGTAAGAGTTTCCAATTTCTTAAATTTCAAAAACTGGGGAAAACAATTGGCATTTGGAGAGTTCTTACCTCTTGAATCAAAAGAGAACTTGAACGCTCAAACAAAGCTTTCCGCCTAAACATGAGAGCTATGCAATTTAAGACAACACCAATCTTGGGATGATGAGAGCCTACCATCACAAAAGATTAATAATAAACTTTATCATTATCGGTCTTTCAAATAATTGCTACATAAAATTTGTAAACTGAGTGTAGATGGTCTTTAGCCCTATCAGGAGATATTGGATACCAAAAAGGGCATTCAAGGAAGTGATCAAACAGAATTTCTTAATTCCCTTAGTAGGATATAATGGCATAGTGATTCATGTAACCAATCTCACTTAACAAGATAGGGCTTGTTGGTGTTGTAAGTGTAGATAACAATTTAAAGAACAGATAACTAACCATAAGATTTCTCTGCCTTGGTCAATGCCCTCGTCAATAACTTCTCTGCGTCACCGAAGTTACTGAAATTAAAACAAATATTAGTAATACCCCAAGTTACAGAACTAGGAAAAATGTGGAAGAAGAAAACCAAACAAGTATAATTGAACTTACCCCACATGTGCTTCAAGCTGCCCCAAAGCACACATGGCTCCCAACGTTAAACTCTCTGAGTTCATGTTACCACCTGCCAAGACATGAGGGTTCCCAAAATCTTTATTCTCAGAGCTTCCATCTATGACTTTTTGGTAAACCTCCTTCGCCAAAGAAAAGTTCTGTTTGGCATGTACAAATTCCCCATATGATAGAGCGACACTGCCTATATATTATAATATCAATTTGGGATGGATAAATCTCTGCCATAGTGTCTGATCAAACGAAAATTACCATTGCATAGTCTGTCATCAAGAAGTCCTTGAAAGAACGCTTCAGCTGCACCAGACCCACAACCAGCACTATTTAGATATGAAAGGATGAACAGGATATACAATCAAACACATAACTAGCAAGAATTTAGAAGAACCTGACTCAAGATTGCCATTGACAAGTTCAACAAACCCTTTAACTGCTTTAGCACGAATATTTAGATTCTCAAAATCTTTGCCATTACATCTTGCTTCGTGTTCCCCCATTAGCTCTAAACATTTATCTGCGAGCACTGATGATTTATCATCCTATACGGGAGAATTTTCTTCAAATAAATATGAATATTACTAGGAAAAATAAGTAGATATTTCGCAATGTATTAGCAACTAACCTGGCCCAACTCTAGATGAAGACCAACTAGAGCTTCGAAGGCAGCAACTACAACAAGAAGCCCAAGAGTAGCATTAAATTGTGGGCATAAATATATCAAATTGGAAAAGAAGATAAATTATATGGGATAATGATGAATATGAATTTACCTCTCACTCCCAGGAAAGAACTAGTCAATTGCTGGACACTAAGGAGTTTCTCGATTGCGTCATCAAAATCTCCTCTAAGAAGAATTAAATAAGACAAACTTTCAGGAATTATAAAACAGAAATTATGCTCCAACATGGGAAATATCAGGAAGGAAAAAAAATAGTAACCTTTCAGACAACAAGGTAGACATAGCGAGAAAAACCATTCCTCTAGAGTTTTCATCAGAAGGACCTTTCCTTTCACATGAAAGAGTCGAAAGGCATTGTTCCAACACTAGCAGGCCTTGTGCATACGATTCAGCTACATAGACACCAACCACACCCAGGACAGGATAAAAATGTAAACTTTCAAAATTCAGGCTGGGTAATTGGGAAACGAAGTTGGTGGAGGCTAGAAAACCGTATACCTGTTTTCTGAGACCTCGCATGGGACAAAGCATAATTGATCATCTGAACAGTCACTGGGTTCGCCAAATAACCATCGGAGCCATTGTGGAATAGCCTAAATGGTGGAGTGGTTGCGACAAGATAGGGCCCGCTATATGAATTGGAGGCTAAATTGGAAGTTCGAGCAATAGCAGTAGAAGCTCTTGACAACTGAGCAGCGAGGCGAATCATCCTTGCTTCAGTGTTGTTGCTTGTCAAGAACTCAACAAAACCCTACAAAATGGACAGAGGTAATTCAAAATGCCCAGTACAATTTAGATTCGAGCGTATGAATATAAAACGCTGTTCATTCAGGATCGGATGCGTGTCGAGCTCAAGAAGGAGTGATGACTGATAAGCGAGCGGTAATGATTAATGAATCTGTTATGACTTATGAGTCTCAGAGTTAGCTGAGCCCAATGGGCTGCTGATAACATCAGCCTAACCCACAAAAGTAATGGACTGAGTAAAGGTGGGCTGGATTATATTAAATTAAGAAAATTAGTCATTTTTCATGAAGGAAGGATTAGCGACCATTTATTTTTTAAAAAAATAAGAGATTTTTAAATAGTTTAAAAATTTGATAAAAATAATATATTTTATAAAAATTTTCAAAAAAAATAAAAAATTATTTTGAATTTAGTCATAATCATGGATCCTTATACATTACACCTTTTCCAAACATAGTAAAACCATTTCTGTTCTTATTTTTTATTTTTAAAAGCTGTTTTGTAATATAATTTTTAAAATTATTTTTAAAACAGAATAAAATGAAAATTTGTTTAGTTATGTCAATTAAAAAATAATTTTAGAATTTAAAAATGGACTGATAGTAATAGTTATAGAGAGTTAATAGTGATAATTAATAATAAAAATTGATCAAGATAATTATAATTTTAAATAATCAAATATACTGTATTTTAAAAACAAGAAAAATAAAACGATTAAGTTGTTTCTATTTTTCTGGTTTCAAAAATAAAAAGTGAAAACAGTTTTAATCATTAATTCAATGGAGTCAGGTAACGTGGTTTGCTTGCCCTTTGGGTTTAATCATTAATTCAATGGACACTATAAATTTGAGCCTGTGGTTAGGAGATTTTATTTCGTCTGATAGAATTGAAATGGATTATGTGAAAGCTGATGTAGCTACAATGTGCTGGTTTATTTGGAAATCAAGATGTAAGCAAGTATTTGAACACATAGATCCTGAGCCAGTCCTGGTTATTGATATGGTAAATTGCTCTATGACTGAATACTGGACAGCCAATTGTCTAGACACAGAATTTAATGCAATAAACTTTCCTACTCCTGCTTTCTAGTGGAAGAAGCCAGAGAATGGAGTTGTTGAGGTCAATTGTGATGGTGCTTTTTGTGGTAGAAATGGGAAAGCCGGTATTGGTGTAGTTTGCAAAAACTCGGCTGGTCAATTTATTAAAGTGCGGACAGAAAATGTACGAGCTGACGCACCATTCCATTCTGAATTAATTGCACTCCACAAATCTGTACGTTTGGTTGGGGAGTGGGGCCTTGCCACCACATTGAAATGGATTGTAGCGATTTGTTTAAGGTAGTAACTATGCAAGATTTCTCGTACTGTCCTTGACAATACCAAAATATTATTGCTGATGTGTGTGACTTGTTGATGGATCGAAGAATGGTTTCTTTTTCTCTCATTTCCCGCTCGGGTAATGTTGCCGTCGACTTCTTAGCTGATATAGCTTCAAGGGAGATGGAACCTATAGGTTTGGTTTTATTATGAGATTATATATAAGCTGCTATGCTCTCATCTCCTCTGGCGTCCATCATTCTTCGTGAAGCTGACGGTGAAAGCATATCATGTGAGGCCCGGCTTGTTACAGAGGCAAACAGGGAAGGAATTGGTTGAGAGCACGTGTTGCTGTGGGTTCTTTTACTAGTTGTTATTTGTTTATTTCGTTAGCCTTTTGATATTGCAGAACTTGTTTTTTTCTGCCTTTTATTGAATGCCGTTTCAATGGTAAAAAAAACAAAAACAGTTTTAAAAACAACGAGATAAAAAACATTTATTCAAACAAATTTTTAAATTTTTCTATTTTTTTAAATAAAAAACAGTTTTTAAAAATGGAAAATAAACAGGCCCTTACAATTCATTGGTATATGGCTTGGGTCTATATTTTGCTCCTTCAAGACCTTGTCTTCGATCATATTGTCAACGAATATATGTGCAGTTTATTTCAAAATTAATTCATGGGATAAAAGCTCACAGTGTTTTTGGGAGTCATTCATGCCATTCCTTAGGATTTTCGAACAGTATAATTTCAAAATTCCTCTAACACATTGGTTACATCTTATCTCTTTAATTTGATGTCTCATGATAATGTATTATGTTTATATATATATATATATATATATTTTACATTTTAACTCTAACCTAACATTTATTAAAGGAAAATGAGACACACATGCACATATAAAGTTGTGGGTTCAAATCTAAAACCTCTTTCAAGCAAAAACAAAAAAAAAAGTGTTTATCACTATTCACTAAAACAAATAATCATTTATCTTAAGTCACCCAGATGCACAATTGCCCATGACAAGGCAGAGATAAGTACTCGGGGTCTAATTGGTTTCAAAATAGAAACATACTTTCATCAAAATCATGGTTTTAGCCGTTTCGAGCACAAAGCTGGACATATAGAGTATTAAATTAAGCAAAATTCTAATGTGTTATGTGAAAACATGCTCAAAAAGAGTTATAAATTGGAGCTTCTATCCGCTCAGCATGTCTGTTGTCCAACTTATAATGGACTATCTATAATAATTCCTTTGTTTGAGTATGGAGTTTGAAAGGATCTGAAGAAATATTTTGAAGCCTTGATTTGTTTAACCTATATATATACGTACAGCTTGTGGCGAATTCTCACAACATAGACCAAATCACCAATTCATCCCTGGACAACCTTGACCTCGTCACAGTCACTATATATTATCATAAAAAATTCCTCTCTCACAATTAATCCGAAAGATCTTTCAGAAATAGAGAACTAGCTTGAAGTTTGGATATGGAAGAGGACAACGAAGTAGTCAATACTCCCCAAGATCAGAGTGAGTGTTTATCTGGTTACTTTAATTTAGATTATGCGAAACGTTTAAATGAGAGAAATAATTAAACAATATGTATTTCATGAATTTCGTTTGCTGTAACGCATATATATCGTTATAACTTATAACTGATAAAGCCTTCGTTGATGAGATGAGAACTCAGAAGAGGAGAAGATGCTGGAGGATTATTGAAAAGATGGCCAAATTTGAAGGACACGAGAAAGATATGCATACATATATATGAAGGAGGAGGCGCCAGAAGCTGAGGTTAAAGTGGTGGATTCCTTTGACGTACAAGATTTTGGGATTGTTACAAAGGAACCTTATACTCGTTGGTTATGCACACGTGTGCACTTATGGTTGTTCGTTGATTAATCAAAACAATTATTAGTTAATTTGTAACCTCTCTCTTCATTTGGCCAGTTCTAGCACAAGATCCTCATACCAAACCAATTTTCTCTTTTTCTCTTGCTGTATATTCTTACCGTGGAGAAATTTCCATCATAGTTAACATGGCAAATTACAAATATCACTTCCTCCATCCCAATTTATAAAATATTTTTGGAAGTGATTTAATATTTCAAAATATAAGATAAAATTAAAATTTTATTAATTATACTTATCTCAATATTGTTCTTTTCTTATATTTTCTCTCTCTGTTTAATGTTCCATAAATAAAATTATATTATTTAAATGGTATTTTTAGAATTTATATTTTTATATTTAAAAAATAAAGTTGTAAAATGTATTTTAATGAGTATAGTAGCATTATTTAACCAAACCAAAAAAAAAAACTAAATTTAAAACCAAGGCAAAACATCGACATTGTTTCAGGTGCCAACAAAAAATTTTATACTAAATCCTTAAAAAAACCTGATGTTTTTTTTATATCTTGAGGCGGCTGCTCTAAAAAAAATATTCTCTCTCCCAATCAATCCTCTAAAGTCCAAAGTAAGTAAACTCCACTTTTTTCACATTTTGAATAAACTTTTAGATCCGTTTCTCTGCCAAAAAAAACAAGTAAAAAAAAAATATGCAAGCCTTGTGCCTCTCATTTAAAATCTTGTGAACTAAAATACTAAAAAAAGAATCAATTTAGATTGAGGGAAAATGTAATTAAAAAAAAAAAAGAACCCTAATTTAATTTCTATATATTAAAGTCATCACTGACGACGTCGTTTCTGATACTTAAATATAAAGCTCAACCCCACCAACACCTCCACGATGGCCGCCTCCGCCTTATCCAAATCAGAGTAATGCAATGTCTGCAGCAGCAGCGTCGTCGGCTTCGAGTCGTGCCTCTGCTTCTCCATACTCCTCTCAGCCTGCCACCTCGTCGTATCACGCGCCACCGGCATCAGCCACTTCATTATCTCCTCCACCGCCTCTCGCCACCCTTCCGCAGGCGACCGTCCGTCCCCTCCCTTCTCCCACTCCTCCCCCTTCAACCACTGCCCCCTCATCTTCTTCCTCACCTTCTCCTTTAGTCTCTCCGGCAGCATCTCGTATAGAGCCTCACGATCGCTCTCTCCTATCGTCCCTGGTGAGTGTAGGCAACGCTCCGCAAACATAATGACGCTCGCGTACCTAAACGATAGCCCTGACCCGCCAACCGTCGACGGTGGCGCCATCATCCACACTCTGTTGTTTCTTGCGATTTCATCTTCCACGGGGGCGAATTGAATCGGTCCTGATTTGTTTGTCTTCGAGATTGGACCCGACTTGGATACACGATTTGTCAGACAGCAATTGTTTTGGTATAATTCTCGGTGTTCAAGGAGGCAATAACAGTCATCCAAATTCTGGTCATTCTTTGGAAGGCCTGAAATGTAGGGTTCGAAAACAGAACAAATTCGGGCGTAGATGATGAAGACTATCCGAACCATGAGTCTTACGGTCCTGTCGAATGTTTGGTTCCACAGTGACACCTCCTTGTAATGCCTCACTTGCTTTCTCTGAAAAGCTATTTGATCGCACAAATTTTCTACGCTCACTTGATTTTTATAACCGAAGTTTTTGCAGCCCAAGGCTTTCCAATGTTGCACCTTCTTCTCGGAAGCTTCCATATCGGCGAGACTCACCATTGCATCGTGAAGTTTCCCCGTGGCCGAGACCAACTTCTCCATCTTCTCAACGCTCTTTAGTACACTTCGGCTGCCGAATTGGAGCTTTCTAGTGTTGATCATGCCGGCTTTTAGATCGGCGTAGACAAAGTCAAACTGGTTGAGTCCGGCATCGGAGCATTTCCGGCCCAGCTGCGAGACGGACGCTGCGGCAATGTCGAGTTCCCCGAGGCGTTCGGCGCAGGCCAGGTTGAGGAGGAAGCATTCTTGCTCGGAGTTCAAGTAGACGACTCCTTTAGAGTTGATGGTGTGGTTGCAGAGCTTGAGAATTTCTGCATCGGTGAGGGAGTTGTAGAGGGAGACAAGGCGGCGCATGGTGTTAGCTGTGTCAAAAGCAAGGATCTCAAGGGTGGCCGCCGGTGGCTTGTGGTGGAAGAAATAGTAGCGCTCAACCATCATGATTACTTATGACTCAAATTAACACTAATTTATACAATCTACGTACTGACATGAATGAGATCTAATTCAAAGAGGTCAAGAATATTTTCTGAGGACAATTTATCAAACAAGATTTTAAAACGTTGTGATCGTGTTTGGTTTTGTCGGAGTGTAGCAGGGTTTGAGGTGGAAGAGAGGGTTTTAGGGTTTATATATGCGCAGTGTGGATGGGAACACTGAAGATCCCAGGGGAAAGAACGCGTTTGGACAGTGGAGATTCAAAGAGATATCAACTAAACGATTAAACAATTATGAAGTGATAGAAACAAATTAACAATGGAGAAAGTGGGCGTTTATAGGAATGCGATATTTCTGTGTCCTTAACCTTAACCTTTGACCGTGTGTGTTTTTCTTACTTTTGGTTTTTCTATCAAGGAAAGGAAGAGGAAAGAGGGCACCGTATTTTTCTTAAATTTGTTGGTCCCTTTTTTCTAATTTGGCGGAGCAATAATAACTAATAAGATATCATAAATATATGCTCCTGAATCCTATTTATAAGGTGAGAGGATTGTTTTTTGTTTTATTTACAAATCATATAATTAATTTTTATCATAATTTTTTTCTTTTACCCCCATTAAATGCTGACAAGTAAAATTATATTATTAAAGTATACATATTTAATAAGGATAAAGTGAAAAACTTATTTAATTTTTTAGAGAAAATTAATGAGTTTTAAAATTTTACTTAATTCTAGTGAAAAATATTAAAAATAATTTATAAATAGGATTAGAGAAGTATAGATCATATATACACACTATATATAAACTTACACTGCAGTTCCATGAATCCTATCATCTTTGAATAGAATAAAAATTTAATTAATTGGGACCCTAGCGGGTTACATATTTTGGAAGAACTACCTTCATTTATACTCGATAATATTCAAATCTAATCTAATTAATTAGATAGCCATATAGGAGAATTATGGCTTGATCATATTTCCAGCTGCTGTGTTCAATGTAAATAATTTTTTTCTTTCATGTGATTCTAATAATTCAACTCAATTTTCATGGCAAAAAATAATCCAAATTAATTTTAAAAATTAACACACGCTATGAGCTAGGCTATCTCGTATATAATCGACAACAATTAACAAAAAAAATAGCATGACAAAAATTAGTACAAATAATTTTTCGTTCTTTTTATTCGACAAAATGTCAATTATAGTCTCAAGAGAATGATCGACACGCTTTCTTGTGGAAATGGATTGGACGCACATGGATGTCATACCTAAGATCATTTTTTTTGGGGGGGGGTTGTTTCGGAATCTCTGAACGGGTTAATTTAATTTATAATTTATAATTTATAATTTACAATAAATCTGTAACGGTGACTTTTAATAAAACATGCCTGGGTTGATTTAGAGATTTTACATCTTTTTTTTTTTGGCACAAATATAGATTTTATAATTGAGCCATCAGTTTGCGAGGATATGGTTATTACAACGGTGACCTTACATGTGATTGCATCAAACTGAAAACTAAGCAGCCACATTAACTTTTGTTGCTTCTATTGTACCAAAAAAAAAAAAAAAAAAACTTTTGTTGCTTCTGCCTGGAGGCTTCTCTTGAATGTCCCTTGTCGAAGCAACACGTATGTAAGTTTTTAAGTGTTTTCACACAAATTCTGTTCGTGCAAGTGTGAATACGAGAAATTAAGAGCATGACTTTTGCTATGACCTTGACTTTAGTCCCACTACTGACAAGCACCAGAAATACAAGTATTTTATATATCACGCTGCTTTATCCACGCATGCATGTCTGTCTGCCCTTGGTACAACAGTTATATCTAGCATGCGATTAAATTTAAAAGTTTTTTTTAATATAACACGAAATTAAAATAATTAATATTTTTTATTTTTATTTCTTGTATATTTATTATTATTTAAATTTCTAGATAACAATTTATTATTGTCATTAATTGTAAGGAAGGATAAAATTGAAAAGTTAAATATTTTTTAATAATTTTAAAATATAATTATCATTTAATTAAATTTTTCTTATAAAATCACATATACTAATAAAAATAATTAAATATAATTTACAAATTTATTTTTTAAAACAAAAATATAAACTTTAAAGAATATCTTCCATTTAATGTTCCATTTGTAAAAAGAATATTAAAGATAGATGATATGTAGGAAAGGTAATATTGGAAGAACATCATCAGTTAAACCTTATTTAATTTTTTCAAAGTTTATTATATTTTGGAACACCAAATCTCCTTTAAAAGTATCTTATAATTTAGAGCGGATGGAGTATTAAAGATTGGAGGAAATACAAATGGGTATGACACAAATGGTAACGGTTTAGGCTCTTAAGTATCATTTTAGAGTTTGATTCTTGGAAGAATGTGTGGAAAGCATCGCTTGAAAGAGAACAACTCCTTAAATGGCGCAAACATCATTCATGATTCAATTTCTAGAGGTGTGTATCGAAAAAATTTCTTGAGAAATGATAACCCTTGAATGACACAAGCATCATCCAAGGTTTGATTCTTAAACGTATGTACAGAAAAACATCTATTAGGAGAAGACAACCTCTTAAATGGTGCTCAAATTTTTAAATGGTGCTCAAATTTCTAAAGGCATTAGTCTCATGGTTACTGATTATGAAAATACCTTAGGTAACCAAAATAAATAAATAAATTATTCCTAGAAAATTAAGAGATGGTCAATGGATCTTAAAAAGTTTAATTAATGCTTCACCTAGTGACTAATTTATATTCCCTCATGAGCTAAATATATGATGTTTTCTAGAAGTCTCACTTAATTTAAAATATAAAACATTAGTTAGGTTTTATATATTTTTTAATTATACCATTTCGTTATTATATTTCACTCAAGTAATTAATGAAATTATTTTGAACAGGTTAAATGTTTTATTTATTTAACTCCCATAGAAAAGATGTGAAAATTTTTAAAAAATTAAAATTTTAATCAACTTTTATTAGAAACGTAGATTAATTAATTAATAATAACTTATGTAACAGTCCAAAAAGAGTATAGCATTACTCGTTTTTTTCCAGAAAATGCCAACTTCCAGGAAGGGAGGGAGTAATTTATAGTAAAAAAGAGCAAATTGACCCTTAAATAGATCCAAAAGCATTCAGGACCCTTGAGTTTTGTCCTTTTCTATAATTATTTAGGTTATTATCTATAACTTCTGGGTTGTTTACTGTAATTTTTTTATTCTTTTATGTAATTTTTAAGGTCATTTTCTGTTATTTTCATATTAATTAACGGTCGAAGTTAAGTTTTGTTAATAGGGATCAGATTGCATTATTTTTAAAAGTTAAAAGAGAACATTACTCTTAAACTTATAATTTAGCGGTCAATTTATTCTTTCACCCTGATTTAGGACCTAATCTAATCATTATAAATTTAATATTTTATATTAATATTAATACACACACCAAGGGTAATTTGTAATTTTTTCTACATTACAATCATTAGAGATCAAAATATTCAAGCTCACAATTCACACATTAATTAATGGTAAAATCATTTTACCAAAAAGAGAAAATAATGGTAAAATCAAAATATTTAAAGAAAATTATCACATTTTATATGATATGAGATGACAAATTTTTTTGACTGACGTCGAATAATATCATTTTTTTAAAGTGATGTTATCTTCCATTGAAAGAAAAAACATGTGATGTTATCTAGTCAAATTTATTTACCATGTAACAATTAATAGCTATACACATTTATCTAGACCCCGTTTGGATTTTAGATCCAACTATTTGTTATATTTAATAAAAACACATTTCAGATATAGTCTAGATATACTTTTAAAGATTATCCAAATAGTGTAACATTCAAGAAAATTTAATCATGCTTTATTAACCTAATGAGTGTGATTAATGAATTAATGATGTGTGTGGCCAGAGGGATCTAATTGGTGTGATTAACCTAGAAGTAGGTCCGAATTGATGGCGGGTATAGGAAGAGGAAGAAAAAGTAAAGGAATGCCATTTGTGCCGCATGCCGTGGCATGTGGTCAATTTGTCGCTACGCATAGAGGTAAATTCAAAGGCAACAGGCCTCTTTGTGCCATGCATTGCGGCGGAGGGCAGCATGCATTGCAGTCCACTGCCAAAAATTTGATTAAATCAATTTGCCTCTGCATGTGAAGAATAGAGAGGAGGAGGAGAGAAAAATGTAGAGCACGTATGAAGCTCTACTAGGGCATACACATTGGGACCCTTGAACGCAATTTTAAGCTTCCTAACACTTGAGGTGAGTGTGATAAGCTTCTTTCTTTCCTTCTCTCCCTCGTTTATAAATATTTAAGTTAGAGTTTGAGTTGGAAAGTTGATTTTTGGTCCATTGAAGTTATGGATTCAAATCCATTAGTTAAAATAGATATAATGAGAGTTGTTTGAGGTAATTAAACCCTACATTAATGATTTTGTATATGGTTAGTTGAGTGGAGTATTCAATGTTCGAAAATCAATGTAAATAGGTAGTTGGGAAAGTTTGATATCCATTAATGGTAGTTTGAAAATCTATTAATGATAATGTGCATTAATAGAACTTAGTGAACTCATTGGGTATGGATGGGTAGAGATTTATAAGATTGGTAAAGTATATAAAATGTGAAATTAATGTTGGCTAGTCTCTAAGAGTGAGAGTTTGTTAATATTCTTGGTTATAATTGTAGTGTGAATCATTCTGGCACCATTTAAGCTTGTGTAAAGCTTTGGAAGTTGGTATTTAGAAGGGTAAACATTTAATCTCTCAAAGGTTTGAGGTAATCGGGGGAAACCTAACTTTATATAATTAAATATTAATTAGTTATTGATTAAAAAATGAATTGATTTGAGATAGGATTTATGTCTTGAATCTATGAGGGACTCTAACTTAACTAATCTCTACCTGTTCATAACGAGGTTAGATTATAGGTATGATACCCCATGATTGTTAATATTGAAAAAAATCAGATTACATAAGTGAGTGAGTTAACCCTTGCCCAGTAGCTCCTCACAAGTGAAAGGCTGGGTTAATTCATAAAGGACGTAATCATGTGATAGCCACCAATTTTATGTCGAAAGTAACAGGAGGGTATAAGGTTGGCATTTGATCATACATTTAAATCCG